CCTAGTTTGCATCATTCGGACGTCGAATGAAGATTTATGGTGCGTCAGAAGTTGGCTAAAAGCTATTAAATTGACAGCAGAATTTACCATTAAAATTTATGTAATTGCATTGTGATACATGTTCAACGAGCCGCGGTGCACGCTTTAAAATTTTTTAGAAATTCTCTTATTTCAAATTCTTAAACAAATGCATTCACACAAGTAATAGTCCCATGCTTTCACATAATTGTGAACTCTGATTTATCTAGTTGCAAGATGTGAAAATGATTTTTAGTTTTATAAACTTGAGGTCTCCATTTTACTAACCATTGAAAACTTTGTATTTTGATAATTACTATAATCCCATTCCCTAATTACTTGGAATTTAGTTTTAATTATGGGAGTAGAAGGAAAAGGATATTACAACCACAGTGCAACTCACAAGAGTTAACTTGTCTTAAATCAACCAACAAACCTTGTTACAATCCAATAAATTGTCACAAACACTTGAAAAATACCTTTTTAAGATTTCAAAAGAATAAGATAAAATTTCACAAAGAAACTCTCTTAAAGAGTGGATAAATTACAGTTGAAAGCTTAAACTTGTGAGAGCTTTTTTACAATTCTTTTCAATAATGATGAATGAATGCTAAATGATTAAGCATAATTTGAACACTTTTTGAATGCTCAAATAAAGAAAAGTTCATTCAAGAATCAAAAGTTTTTGTTCAGACTTGAATTATATCACATATATAGTTTATGACAATTGATAGACTGTTGGAACAGTGTAACTAGCCATTAGTGCAATTTCTTACATGCAACCTGCTAAATCATGCATGAAATGGCTTTCATTATGTTTTAGATATGTGTCTATGATAAATTAGGTGTGAATCTCAGGGTGTCTCTCGCATGGTTTGGACTATATGAATGTGTAATCTATATTGTGTGCAAAAATTCATGTACAACCCTCTTGCTCTCGTACGTGGTTTGGCTTACAAAAAGCCAACACCAGTTCTGTGTGACAAATCTTATGTGTGACCAACTTGTCATCACGTGTGATTTAGCTTGCAAAAAGTTAAACCCAAATCTGTGTGACAGAACTTGCTTGGAACCACGATGCTCTCACATGTGAAATGGCCAGCTTCAATCTTAGACCATTTGAGAAGATAAATCACACGTGGAACACAATATTACTTATGCGTGAAATGGCAAGTAGCAAAGCTTAAACCATTCTGGGGTACATATCATGGATTTGTGAATCATGAATCATACAAGTGAGCAAATTGAACTTGGCTAGAGATGACTTAAGACTTAATATAGCAAGATATATTCAAGGAATAAATGATAAATCATGCGTGGTCACTATTAGCTCTCACGCATGAAATAGCTCATGTCACAATATAATGAAACACAATTTGACAACTTACATGCATATTAGTAGGTTGCTTGAGTAATTTGGAACACAGAAGCAAAATTAAGGTATCACATAAACACAAATGAAAAATCATGCGTAGATTACGCTTTGATTCACACATGAAACGTCAGTCAGTTGCTTAACATGCTAAATCTTATGAGTGACCATGTAGAATCATGCGTGATTCTGTAGTCTGAGAAAATTCAACTTCTATGAAACACAAGAAGCTAAAATAACATATCTTGCAAGCTTGAATGTATTAAGAGGAGTCTTTATGAGCTAAAGGTGATGCATTCATTTTAAATAACTATGAAATGTGATTAAACTTTCAAAGTTTTCATATTGAATCTAAGAGAATTTAAATAACTTATCCTAAAGTTCTTCCTCTTCCTTGGATTCTTAATGTACTTGAGGCTTTTTCACCTATGTTTTTTTATTTATTTGCACACATAACCAATGCATCTTTTCTTAGTTTTATAATCATCAAAACACATGATCTAACATTCAATTTTGGAACATCTTTATTATTTAGTAAACTTCTAGTTACTTTGTAGGTTTTGATTATTAAATTAAATTCTTGCTACTATGATAGATTCTTTTGTATTATGGTAGTTAGTTTTGAAATTGATTTGTTAGCAAAGAAATTTTTTTTTTTTTACCATAGTAAAGCTTTGCAATTTGGTTTGATTCATTACTACAAAAAAGGTTATATTGGAAAAACCAATATTGGAACAAATTTTAATTCCTTTGAATTGAATTTTTAACTCAACAAATAATGGTACACATCCATGAAAGTTTCAAACATAATGTGAGTTTTGGCTAATGGCAATTTTTTCTTTCAAGAATTTCAATGAACACCTTGTATGCAGCAATGAAAACACAAAATTTATATAATATAATCCAACACAAAAATATTTAAGCAAAAATAAAATATACCTAGAATTTCTAAGCAATGATCCAACGTTACAAAATCAAAATAATCCAAAGCTCAATAATAGACCTAGCTGGAGGAAGAAGAAAGGAAAAATGGACTTACGAATATGAGGAATACTTAATGGAGAAGCATATGAGGTCTATGGTATCTAATAGGGAAGAAGTCATGCCCTATGACATCATGAGCTGTTGCAAAGAAGAGGGAAGAAATGAGAGGCATAGAAGAAGGAGGGCAATGAAGAAAGATGGAGAAAATATAATTTATTGATCTAGAGCTAAACTAGGGGTTTTTTTTGGGAGATGCCAGTTTGAACTTGTGCGCTGCAGTTTAGAAACACTCAAGTAAACCACAAGGACACGGAGTAACTAGCTAAACTAGGGTTTTTGTAAAATGTATATTGGACTATTGTTTAAATAACTATCCAATATATATAGAATATATTGAATGGGTATTGGACGGTTATTTTTACAATTGTCCAATATGTTTCTCTACCTCTATTTATTGAATGGTTGTGATGATAACCATTCAATAAGAGGCATCTTTTATAACTCATTTTGTAGTAGTGATTCTTTTCCATTATAGTAGGCTCTTTTTTACCATAATAATGATTTGAAAATGATGGTTTTCATTTTTTTCTATTATAGTAAATTCTTTTCTATACAATAGTGTTTTAAAAGATTGAGTTTTATTTTTAATTACCATGGTAAACTTTATTTTACCATTGTAGGATTAAATAAATATGGTTTGAAAAATAAGAATGTTATAGTGTTGCTAAAGAGCTTAAAATTAAAGGGCAAAACTTCTTGTGTATTTTCAATTTTTGCATGAGATTATTAAATTCAGTTTTCTCCCAGAGCACAACAATATTTCTTGTGGAGGGCATTAGATGGGGCTATCTATTCAAACTGTTTAGCAGAAAGTGTTGAGTTACTATATTATGTCCAATTTGTAGAACATAACTTATATCCATGGACTAAACAAAGTGTGGCATGCAGTCCCATGACCATCAAAACTAGCAATTATCGGCAGGTATTAAGATTGACAGTGCTGTGAAATGATACTGGTGAAGAGAAAGATGGACGAATATGATAAGACTCTTGTATTGTGCATTTGTTGGAGAGAATTAACCAAAAAAAAAAAAAAGGAAGGAGCTTAAACTATTTTCAAGAACTGAAGGTAGATGCTTTAAAGGGAGTGGTATGCTATCACTTCATTGAATGAGAGCTATGGTAGCTAGGAGGCTAAATGGTTCTATATAAAATGAAAGAGTGACAAGCAAGGAGTTGAGTGAATAAGATCAACCCAAATGCTGAAGGTTCTTCTAACTGTAATGGGACAGAAGCAAGCATAAGGGTGGTGGGCAAACCAAAAAAAAAACAAAAAGAAAGAAAAGGAATTGTAATAGGTGGCTGCTTATTTAATTCGTTATTTGTCTACAAGAAACTAAATATAACATAACGAATGCAAAGAAAAGTCCAAAATCAAAAGAAAATAAAAGAAAAATACACCTTCAATCATTTTACCAAATTTGGAGTTTAGTTGATCAGAAGGGAATGCTTCCAAGCTCTACTTTCATTTAAAATATGTTTTTTTTTATAAACTAACATTGAAGTCACAAGTAGTTTTTTTTTTTAAATTACATGTGATCACCAATTATCAATTATTTTTACATAATATTAAATTAAAAACACATTTAAGTTTTGAAAGAGATTAAAAAATTGTAATGATAATAAATGTCCAAAAAAAATAAAAATAAATATAGTTCATGATACCTCTTAATAAAAAAAATACCATGAAATAATTGTTATTCACAAAAAATAATAATAAAAAAACAAAATGATATATGTCTGGGCTAGCTAGCTGGGCTGAGGGATGTACCCAAATGGCTTGGACAGGGCCGGATTGAATGGTCTTTCAGGTGAGTTGAATAATTATATTGGATGGGATGTTGTTTGTGTTAGAGTGGCCAGCAGGATGTTAATGGGCTAGGGTCTGAAAAAGTGAACCCTATTGGATTGACCAATGTCAAACTAGGTTTGTTAATTTGTTTGCTCTGTTAAAAAAAGAAGAAGAAAAAGGCAAAGAATAATAGCAGTTTTATATATATGTCAACTTGCATATATAAGACGGGTTGGACTAACCTGGGCAAATACCTTACTCAATATCAGCCCTCGTCTAAATCAAAGTAACCAACCACCCACGATTTGATCAGGTTTATTTACCCCTTAAAATTATTTTTATAATGATAATTATGGTTAATGACTTAGTTATCATAATCATTTTTAATTTTAATTAAAATCATTTGAGTCTTTAATTGAAAGAATAATAAAAATAATAAAAATACAAATTTGTGGAAGATTTCAATGTAAGAACTTAAGATGCAAGAAATAATTTGTTTATTACATCAAATATCAAATATTAGGGGGGAAAAACTGCATTCAAATTTTATTTTGTGTTCATAAATAATTATAAATTTTATGTTGATGCTTCGGAACTTGGAAGAAACGAATTTTTAACATGCTTAAACTCTTGAGTTTAAATTTTAACTTAAATTTAAATGCTTAATTTTTTTTTAACTTAAAGTTAAAGCCTTTTTTTTTTTCCTGTTTTAAAAATAAAATCCCATTTATTTTTCCATTTCAAGTCTAGAAGCTTCCCAGCTCTTCATTTTCTTCTGCTCTAAAACCCCTCAAGCTCCGTTAAACCCTCGATCCTGAATTGAAACACACGGCTACACCCTCACCCTGTCTATCTCCACCCTTGCATTCAAAATGCACAGGCTAGCTAGGCGCTGCTCTGTTTCTGCTATGTTGCGTTACGGTGGCGCCCGTCATCGTAACATTGCTGCTCCACTTTCCTCCTTTTCATACATCACCTTGGTACGATTCCCAGAGATTTTGCTTCTGACAATTAATATTTTTGACTTTCCTCCTGTGATGTGGATTCCATATTCTAGTAGTTTGGTGTGATTTTGAGAAACTGACTTGAACTTCGATTCTGAGCTTACCTTTCTTTTCTGCTTTTGTGGATTCTGCTGTCGACTTTGATTTTTCGTGTCTTTTGAAGTTATTATGCATAACTTGTATTCGACAGAAGCATCGGTGACATTGTTATATATATATATATATATATATTAGATTAGAGTCGTCTTCCACTTGAACTTGGCACGAGGGACATATCACATAAGTTCCGTGTTATGGCAAATGTTCCCATCTCAATGTTCATCTTGGATTTTCTTGGTATATAATATTTACCTAGTAGATATGTTGTGCTCTTTTTCATTTTGAGCAGGTCAATGAGAATGACACCAAAGCTAGATCGTATTCTGTGTTAAGTTCAGAGAATTCTAGCACCATTAAATCCACGAATCTGCCAAATCTGAAAAGAGATTTGCTTCTGGGCAAACGATACGAAACAACTGCTGCAGCATCTGATGCATCCAGTTCGCCACCGGCTGAAAAATATGAATACCAAGCTGAGGTATCGTCAATTTTAGGATATTCTGGTACGTGTCTTAATACTATTGTGCAAAGTATAAGGTTATTTTGGGTTAAAATTATCCTTGCCATGTTGACAGGTCAGTCGACTCATGGACCTCATTGTTAACAGCTTATACAGTAATAAGGAAGTTTTTCTTAGGGAGCTTATCAGGTATATGTTGTTAAAAATACTGGCGTTTGACTCACTTGTGCCTCTTTCTTTTCTGAAGAACCCTTTTGCTTTCTGAAGATTGTTTCCAATTGTTTTAAAACCTCCTAAATAAACTCATGCTTGTGCATCATGTGGATTAGATTATATGAATTGTTGCTTGTCCAATCTACTCATTTATAAATTTTTCCCACAGCAATGCAAGTGATGCATTGGATAAACTGCGGTTTCTTAGTGTTACTGAGCCTGAACTTTTGAAGGATGCTGTTGAATTTGATATTCGAATCCAAGCTGATCAAGATAATGGGATTATCACTATTACGTAAGATAATTAGTTATGGCTGCTGTTTGATCAATCATTGTTTTCTTCACTCAGTGCTTATTCTTTAGTTCTATATTTTTTTGGCAGTGATACAGGTATAGGTATGACTAGGCAAGAACTTGTTGATTGTCTTGGAACTATTGCACAAAGTGGGACTGCAAAGTTTTTGAAGGCTGTGAAGGTATGCAGGATGGTAATGTTTATCAATGTATTGTATCTTTCTTTTGTTGTTAGTTGCCGTTTACACTGACAAATCCTTATTTTTTAAAGGATAGCAAGGATTCTGGTGGTGACAGCAATTTAATTGGTCAATTTGGTGTGGGATTTTATTCAGCTTTTCTGGTTTCTGATCGGGTATTTGTTTGCATAAATAATAACACCTAGCTACTTTCTAAGGCCTTGTATCTTGTAGTTAAATGATTCTTGTTGTGGAAGGTGGTTGTGTCAACTAAAAGTCCAAAATCTGATAGACAATATGTTTGGGAAGGAGAAGCAAATGCTAGCTCTTATACCATACGTGAGGAGACTGATTCTGAGAAGTTAATTCCTAGAGGAACTCGCCTTACATTGTATCTCAAGGTATTTAAGAATTGTAAATTATTTGGATATTTTCTTTAGTTTTGGTTGATCCCTGTTCTTTAAATCTTTGACATATTACCCTTTGCTTATTTTTCAGCGAGATGACAAAGGTTTTGCACATCCTGAGCGTATTCAGAAACTTATAAAAAATTATTCCCAGTTTGTCTCATTCCCAATATACACCTGGCAGGAGAAAGGTTACACCAAAGAGGTTTGGTTTGGGGGCCATGATCTTTTTGCATTCTATTTAAAGCATATATTTTGTGTGTTGATTTATACTATTCTAGTGCAGGTTGAGGTTGATGAGGATCCTGCTGAAGCCAAAACTGGTGAGCAAGATGAGAAGGCTGAGGTACTGGTTTGATTTCTTTTGTATTTTTCTGTAACAAGGATGTAAATTTTACTCATTAAAGTGTAGCTTTTTAGCTGCTGCATATTTAATCCATGGTTTTTGATTACTTTGCTATGGCAGAAGAAGAGAAAAACTAAGACTGTTGTTGAGCGATATTGGGATTGGGAGCTCACCAATGAGACTCAACCTATTTGGGTGAGTTTTATGATGTATAACTCCATATGTTTTGTTTTTTTTTTTTTTTTTTTTTGCGGACACTCATTTCCTGGAATAAGATACAGACTTCACTTTGTTTGTGCAGCTTCGGAACCCTAAAGATGTTAATAAGGACGAGTACAATGAATTCTATAAGAAAACATTTAACGAATACCTGGATCCATTAGCATCCTCACATTTTACAACAGAGGTAAGAGTATTTTACATATTGTGTTTTGTGCTGCATGTTTTATTTGTTTACGTGGAGAATATGCAGTCATCAAGGATTCTAGCTTTAGGTCAATACAGTTATGTAATCTAAATGAGATTAACAATCGTAATTTTGCTGATATTGTTGTGGTGTTTGTATTGGTTTTTGTGTTGATGTTTACTTTTGCAGGGTGAGGTAGAATTTAGGTCCATACTTTTTGTTCCTGCTATTGCTCCCTCAGGGAAGGATGACATCATAAATCCCAAGACTAAGAATATAAGACTCTATGTGAAGAGAGTGTTCATTTCAGATGACTTTGATGGGGAATTGGTATAGAAATTTCTTCATCTTGCCTAGAAGAGATTCATCATGTCTTCATAGCTTCAACGTGTGCTAATTTTGTCATTCTTTCAAGCAGTTTCCCCGATACTTGAGTTTTGTCAAAGGTGTTGTTGATTCAAATGACCTTCCCCTCAATGTTTCACGGGAAATTCTTCAGGAGAGCTGCATAGTAAGTGATAAAGTTCATACATTATTTTAAACACAAATTTGTCTTTGAAAATGCATGTCAGAAATTTTTAATATTTTTTCCTTGTTTAATTGGTTTCCACACTATTCTTGTAGGTTCGGATTATGAGGAAGCGGCTAGTACGCAAAACTTTTGATATGATTCTTGGTATATCCTTGAGTGAGAATAGAGAGGTATGCTCTACTTATTAGAATTCCTCCTCCTGTAAGGCAGAAGAGATGGATTTTTTAAGATCAATGCACAATCCATTTTGGAAAATAGCTATTCATTGCTCATTTATGTGTATTTATTACATTTTTTTATTCATCTTGTATAATAACGTGATGAAACGTTGGTTAAATATTCTTTTCATGTCTTACTCTCACCTCACCTAAAGTCCTCTCGTTTGATCCATCCCTGTAAATATCCAAGTTCTGATATGTTTGTTGCATGATTTATTCGTCTTTTCATATGTATGTTTTGTTGTAGAAGGATAGTGTTTCCTATTTGTATATTACTAGCTCCTTTATCTGTTTAATGCAGGACTATGAGAAGTTCTGGGAGAACTTTGGGAAATATTTGAAAATGGGATGCATTGAAGATCGTGAGAATCACAAACGTATTGCTCCATTGCTTCGGTTTTTCTCATCCCAGAGTGAAGATGAAATGATCAGCTTGGATGAATACGTTGAGAACATGAAACCTGATCAAAAGGATATCTATTTCATTGCTGCTGACAGTGTGACCAGTGCAAAGAACACTCCTTTCTTGGAGAGACTTCTGGAGAGGGATCTTGAAGTATGTGCCGGCCTTTGGTCTGAGTCTTGTATTTTAAATTAATTTGTGCTCATTATTGTTATTGTAATGTCATTTTATACAGGTTTTGTTTTTAGTGGATCCTATTGATGAGGTTGCGATCCAAAACCTGAAGTCATACAAGGAGAAGAATTTTGTTGACATTAGCAAGGAAGACTTGGATATAGGTTTGCAACTTGAAACATTTATCACCGTAACAGCTCTTTTCACAGGGAGAGTATATATGGAATTGTGAAAATTTTCTTTCCTCTCCGTGTTTAATTAAATATTTAATATATATGTGCGCTTCACTTGGAAAACATTCATTTTAGCGACAGGTAGTAAAATTTCATTTTCAAGAATATTTGCTAGTAAAATGAAAAATCATGCATTAATGTTGGTGTGAATTGGTAGTTTATTTCATTTTGGTTGCTCAATTTTGTTCTTATGACTTCTCTTTGCGTTTCACGCGCATTCTTGTGCAGGTGATAAGAATGAGGAAAAGGAAAAGGAGGTGAAGCAAGAATTTGGTCAAACTTGCGATTGGATTAAGAAACGTTTGGGAGATAAAGTTGCAAATGTACAAATCTCAAATCGACTGAGCTCTTCCCCTTGCGTCCTGGTGTCAGGGAAATTTGGTTGGTCTGCAAACATGGAAAGGCAAGTCCTTTTTCAGCTGTCAAATGACATGTTTTGACCTATCAAATGTCAATATGCCTTATGTGATCAAACTTACTGCAGGCTTATGAAGGCGCAAACTATGGGTGATACTGCTAGCTTGGAGTTCATGAGAAGCAGAAGGGTGTTTGAGATCAACCCTAATCACCCTATTATCAGGAATTTAAGTGTATGATGAATTGAGAATTCTCACATTTTTTTTTTTAATGGATTTGATTCCATTGGTTAAGAATCACAATTAAATGAAATTAATGCCGGTTTTCAGGCTGCATTCAAATCAAACCCTGATGACCAAGATGCCCTTAAAACTATTGATCTCCTTTATGATGCAGCGTTGGTTTCCAGTGGTTTTACGGTGAGTTCAAGGCTTTATATCGTTGCTCTGGAATGATGTGTGTCTAAGCATTCTTGATGACGTGTTGTATTCTATAAAATTCAACCATGTTGGACTCTCTTGAGTCAATATCTTGTTGGTGTGCAGCCTGAGAATCCAGCTCAGCTTGGAGGAAGGATATATGAGATGATGGGGATGGCTATCACCGGCAAGTGGTCAGATCCTGGTCAGGCTCAGCACACTGAATCGCAGCCCCATGCTCCCGAAATTGTAGAAGCTGAGGTGGTTGAACCTGCTGAGGCTGGCAGTCACAAGTGAGAACTGACATGAAAAGTTCGGTTTTTCCTGCACCGTACCTTCTCATCGCAGCATTGTACAAGAACCATAGCTAAGTTTTATACGTATCCTGAGGATTTTTCTATTTAATACATTTCCGAGGGCATATTTCAATTCATCAGTACTAAGCTACGATATCTTCTAGTTCTCGCATGACTTGTCTTTTGTCAAAGAAATTTTTTACGGAGTTCGATTTCTTGAACTAATTGTCATTTCTGTTAAAAAAACAATCCGATTTTATGCTCGCTGCGTTCCTTTTTCCCAGCTCAAAATTCTTCCCCTAATGTTGATATTTATAAAATGATTCGCCAAAATTCATGCGTTTACATTTGAAATAAAATTTAAGTCGGGCGTTGAATGATATTTAAGTATTTTTATGGGGAAATTTAATTTATTTATACATAACATGTGGAAATGTATGTGATCTTTTTTTCTTAAAAAAAGTTGTTAAAAGGAAATTGAAGGGGATAAATTTTTTGAAGTTTCTTAAAATATGATGTCCTGCAATGGTTGCCATTAATATAATTGACCCAAAAAAAAAAAAAACAAAACAGGGAGAGAGGTGGCTGTATAAAATAAAAATATATTATTGATTAGAGAAGGGTTTTTAAGTGTGAAAGAAAATGATAAGAAATATAAATATATTTTTATTTTTGAAATGGGGAAAATTTCATTGAGAGCTCTCTGATTACATTTAATGAAAAAGAAAACTCTAAAAATGTTGATATATCATTGAACAAAAGAGGTATTGATTTGAAATTAAATTTTATAATCAAATGACAATACTGTCCTTTACTGTAAGAATAAAGAAAAAAATTTTGTTTGCTCAACCACGACGTACATGTGTTGTAAATATGTAGAAAATCAGTAACACCTCCATTTTAGATTTGAACCAACACCTCCATTTTAGATTTGAACTAATAGAATCTCCTTTAAGTGAGTGGAAAAATTTCACTCAAGAAAGTTCTCATCTCACCCATCATTGTCCACATATTCAATAAGTGTAGATAAATGCACTTAAGCTTCTCAAACTCTCAAGTCTAAATATTAGCGATGCCTCCATCATTGAAATTCCTATTCAAGAATCTCCCTTGATTGAGTCACTAGCCAGTTGAGCACTACCTCTGATGTTGTAGCTTCTTTTGGTCGGTGTTGTTCTTCCCTTAGTTAAACATTAAACCAATACTTGAAAAGCAATTAATATTGTAGCAAATAAGTGAGGTAAAGAAATTAACAATTGTCATAAGGTAATTAACCACACATACTAAGGCAAAGAACAAGTCATCCAAACATAAAATCATACTGGTATGATCATGTTTTATTGGTATGTTTTACTTGAAATTCTTTCAAAAATATATCAGTATATCAAAGACATATCGGTATATTATAGACATATCGATATATCATAGACTTGCCAGTATATTTTTCTTGGAATTCTTTTGTGTCGTAACTTGTAATAAACAAGTTTAGTAAGGAAATGAACAACTGTTGTAAGGTAACTAACCACACGCATTAAGGCAATGAACAAGTTATCCAAACATGAAATCATACCGGTATATCAGAGACATATCGATATGTTTTACTTGAAATTCTTTCAAAAATATACCGGTATATTAGAGACATATTGATATATTATAGACATATCGGTATATCATAGATTTATCGACATGCTTTCCTTGAAATTCTTTCATGTCGTAACTTGTAATAAATAAGTTCAGTAAGGAAATGAACAACTATTATAAGGTAACTAATCACACACATTTAGGCAATGAACAAGTCATCTAAACATAAAATCATATCGGTATATTAGAGACATACCGGCATGACATGTATGTTTTCTCTATCATTTTTTTGCACATTACCTACCGTACTTCTTTCATCAAATGATTCTTGTGCAGGAACTCTGGTGATTGAGATGCTGCTTTCAAATGCCCTAGTTCGAGTTCTAAAGAGATTCAGATCTTTATTCGTATTTTTTGTATTTTTAAGATTTGTAATTATGATACATAATCATCGCTTGTAATTAAGTATATATAATAATTGATCCTTTAGTTTATGTCCTGGAAGTTGATGGAAGTCTCGCTGATCTTCAAATACCTTAGTTCATGTTTTGGAGGGATTCATCTTCGATGACGGAGATGTTTGTGATCTTCAGTATCATTACATGCGTCATCCGTTTTTTTTATCTACATTCATCTTTTTTCTTTTAATGAGGGGCAATATTGATATTTGATCGTAAAATTTAATCTCAAATCAGTACCTTGCCTGCATTGATATATCAATATTTTTGAGATCTTCTTTTTATTAAGTGCAGTTAGAAGGTTCTCAGTGAAATTTTCCCTTTGAAATATAATGTTAAAAAATACATTGACAATAATGAATGAATAAATTAGCGACCTAAAATCAACCATAAGGTTAATGATTCTCTGATTCTCATTCAGTTTTGGGTCCTCATTCAGAAGAATGCATTCTAGTTTGTACGAGGAGGAGGTTAACTGTTTCAAGGCGAAGCGTGTTAGATTCTTTGATTGTGAAGATTCCCTTACCAGTGCACCAAAACAGAAGAAAATTTCAAATCATAATCGACAGGTTAAAAGGAAATATGTTGATTCTCTTTTGGATTTACCTCACATTTTTGTCAAAAGGGCTAGGGAAGTGGCCTTTCTAATGCTTCCTTCCAAGGAGCCATGAGGGTCTTTAAGTTGGGACTGCCATGGTCTTAGGAAAGCTACACAGTTCAAGGGTTGAAGCTTTTGGTTTCCAAGTTTCAACCTAATTTGTTGCTTTTGCAAGAAACTAAAATTTGTAGCTCAGTTTGTTGAATCAGTTGCTTTCCCTCGTTTTGTTGGCACGGATGCTATTAGTGAGGGATGGATTACGATTGTTTGTTGGGGAGGGGCTTTGGATCTTTTGGTTTCGGAATGTAATCCTCTAGTTTGTCACTGCCTAGTTGATATGAATTCAGGCTCTGCCTATTGTATGTCTTTTATTAATGAACCAACTAAAGCACGTGACCGTCCTTTGCTTTGGAACTAGGTGACAAACACTGCCTCTGCAATGACTAAACCGTGGTCGTTAATAAGAGACTTCAATTAGATTTTGGAAAACTGACAAATGCAATGTTCATAAAGGCTCATATTCAATGGGCTCATTTAAAGAATGTCTTGATTGGGCTCGCTTAATTCCGATCAAACAAAATAGACCAAAATTGACTTGGTCGAATCATAGGAAGGGAGTCGATCTCACTTTGGAATGTTTGGACAGAACCTTCTGCACGTCTGAGTGGATGGATTTATTTCCCTGTTTCTAATATTCTGAATCTGACACGAGCAGCTTCAGATCATTGCCCAATTCTTTTCTCTACTTCTTTTGGTCTTTAGCCTAGTAAGAAATTAAGAAGATCTGAAAACTATTGGCTTGATTTTGATGATTTTCACCATATTGTTTCCAACTGCTGGCATCAGCCGGTCAATGGTTCACTATGGTTTTGTCGAGCTTATGTTCCTGCAGCAAATTCAAGGTCGGCAATGTCAATTCTCAGATTAACCTGTTGGAGCAAAAGTTACAGTCACCTACTCTTCAATTTGACATTATCTCAAATGGAGATCCTACTCTCCTCTAGTAGGTGAATGAAACCAAATATCTTTTGGAATTTTATTATGACTGTCAAAATGGCTTTTGAAGCCAAAGTGAAGTGAAAAACTTACGGACAACATAATATTAAGTTCTTCCACATGGCAATTAACAGATGAAAGAGCAAGAACTTTATCTAGAGTCTTAAGTTTAATTCGGATCAATGGGCTGAAGACCAAAATGAGTTGTTTGCAGCTATATGGAGGCAGTTCAATAGTATTTTCAATTCTTCTTCGTCTGTTGATTAGCAAGAGCTATTAGAGGAATTACATCAACTTTTTGTTTTGCAGCTTGAGGATTAGATGTTCAGTTATTATTGACTCCAATAACTACTAGAATGACGAGAAAACTGCCACCTTTACTCTCCCAAAAGATAGTTCCCCTGGTCCTAATGGTTTTCATGTTAATTTTTTCAAGACCTATTGGAATTTGGTTGAGGATGATTTTTGAAATGGTAAATTCTTTCTGGCATTCCAACCATATGCTTTCTTCTCCAACCAAATCTTTCATATTACTAAAGAACAGAATCTAGTTTCTTTTAAGAATTTGAAACCAATAAGTTTATGTAATGTGGCTTACAAGATTATCTTAAAGGTCTTATGTAACAAGTTGAAAGAAGTACTTCCAAAACTTATCTCTTCTTTTCAAATTGCTTATAATATTCTACCAAAAAAAAAAAAATACTTATAGTAAAGGATGACTTATTTTTGATAATGTTTATTTTCTTTAAAAAAAAAGCACAATTATTTTCATAGAAAAAAAATCAATTTTTTTAATTATCTTTATAAATAACATATAATATAGAAAATTTAATTATCAACAACAAGGACAACTTCTTTTTGAGTTTGATTCCCCAAAGGCCAGAACCAAAGTTTTGTGCAAATTAAAACGAAACAACATCATATCTTCGGTCGAAAAAGACTTCTTCGATTTTTTGACCAAATTCATTGCTTCGTTGGTGCGAACCTGTCCTGTGAATTTCATATCCCTCCTTGCAAATATTAACGCTAGAGGTTGAGTGGCTCGACAGGGAAGAGGAGGACACCGTCGACGGCGTGCTTTTGACTCTGGGTTTGAAAGTTCCAATCACTTAATTTGGGATGGCTTTCACTTGACAATATGGGATCCTAATTGTAATCGTTATAGGGACTCCAATAACTGAACTCAAAATGAGATTTGCTGGTTTTGGTTGCAGTTAGAGTGTGATATAATCATCAAATAACGGGCATTTGAGTATTCCCCCTCATTGGAAAGGGGCCTCCTCCCATCTCTCCCACGTCGTCGGAAAAAGCTGTCCCATCCATGCCACTGTTCATTACCAAGAACGCAAAACAAACGTCTCACGCTCCAGAAAGCTCTCTCAGTTCCTTCGCCTTCCCTCAAGTTTCAGCGAGACAAACGGTGTTCTTCCACTGTCGTGCTTTGTTGTGCCTCACCACTCTATCGGCACTAACGAATGAGGTTTCATAAAACGGATGAGGTGTGAAATACACACTTTATAGGTACCCATTCTACTATTCTCTCTGTATCATTGGTTATGACTGCTAAAGGGATACCTTTCCACAGTAGAATGGAAAACATTTATTCTTTTGCTTTGTGAATCTTGAAAGTTGTCATTCCTATTCTGAGATGTTTGTGCTAGCTAATTGGATGTTATTGCTCTTCTATATATTATTTTCTCCTACATGCTTCTAGTTTCATGTTCTTTTATTAAATTGACATATACCATTGTGTTGATTCCAAGAAAAATTTGCCATTCTTTCTTTTGCCCCTTTCTTCTTTTTTCTGGTTTTTAAAATTTTTAGTAGTGATATATAACCTAGCATTGAGTTAAATCATAATAAAAGTCCAAGTGGGATTTCTTTTTTGATTCGGTTCTGAATTAAATTGAATGGAAAACGCTTGTTATTTAGAATTCTACTTTCAGATTATTAATTGGACTAGAATAATAATACAACAGCATGGGGTTGTGGCTTAGTCTGTCTGTTGATGTATACCACAAACTTATTTCCTTGAAAATCATGCTAAAAATAGTGAGGACGATGTGAAGGCTAAATGAGCACTATGGATTAACAGCACGTGAATGTGATAGGAAACACCTCTTCAAGCTGTGAAAATCTCCATATTGATGAATCCAGTCACTGGTAGCTCAGATATGGTGCATCATGATGGGGATAGAAAAATTTCAGAGGGAAAATTGCACCTGCAATGGAAGGAACAAGACTCTAATATGCAGTATGGTTTGACTAATCATAGCATTTTAATTAATTGAGTGATGTGGACTCTTTTTGTCCACTAATTAGTAATTTCCTGAATGACTATGATTTACCCTTACTTTAGAGAACTTTATGCCTGGCCTTGCTTCCCATCCCGGTAATATATCATAAACTTAAAAGATTGGAAAAATATCATTTAATTGGACAAACTTAATTAAAAAGTTGCAGTTACATTCTTAGAAGAAAAATTCTATCCCAGTAACTCTGCCCATTCATACTTATATTCAAATTCCATTATCTCTTCAGCTTGCCTTTTGAGGTTGAACAAGAGCTGTAAAAAAATAATGCAAGGTGAGTTCTACGGCTTCCACTCTTTCCTCAGGTATAGCATGACAAATGGGGCTTACTCTTAGATATTCTGTAAGACTTTATTCCCTTAACTTTCCCTACCCATTGCACCAATTAAAATGTTGATTTGAGGATATTCTGAGGTGCGTTTCTTGAAGGTTTAGCATTTTTTTTTGGGGGAAATTGATGAGATTCTGGACAGCAATGATGGGGGTAAGGGGAGTGTTAATTCAATGGGAGGATGGATGTTTTGTGCTTTAAAATTGAATTGTTTCTATGAACTTTTGAATATTGGTGTTGGAGTTTTGTTCTGCAGAGGTCAAGATTTTGTGCCAATAGCTGTTCTAGTTGTGGTGCAATTCTCTCTTGTAGCTATGCTTTTTGTGTTGGCTAATTAGAGTGGCAATCAAGTAATGAATTGTGTCCTCATGCATTTGTCATGGATGCATTAAACATTGCTGTGTTATTTTGCCAAATTTGGGACTTTTTTTGTAACTAAGGATTGGTGATTTTTCATGTACAAGTGTTACTGAATTATTATTATGGCCTGTGGATAACTGATGCTTGATGTCCCTTTTATACTTATGAATGATAATTGGTGATGAAGTTTCTGTATAAGCTCATGGATGTATTACATTATTCGAGGGTGGATGTTTGTGTCTTCTGGCTCAAGATTCTGTCAAGAAACTTTGGTCCCCATCCTAGAAAAATTTAATCAATGCTTGGGTCCTTGTTTCCACTTGTGTTTGGTCCTAAAATACTTCATAATGATTCTGTTTCTATCCCAAAGCAGTGGGTTCAAGAACTTAGAAGTAGAGTTTTATGATCTTAATAGGAAGTCAATAGGTCAAATTTGGTTCGGGATGATTTGGACCATAATTTCCATGGTTTTTGAATGCTCTAACTCATTGAAATTTCCTTTTAATAGTTTGGTTAGGTTTAAAAATGGTTAAAGTATCTAAACAATAACTCAAGGGGCAATGTTTACCAAAAAATTAGTTAACTAGGCAGTTTTAGAAATCAGTGCATTTGAGGGCAAAATGGTAAGTTTGGGCATCAAGTTTGGCAGATAATTAGATCTCATACAGTGGTTTTAGTATACCAAATTTGGTGGGAATCCAATTAGAATAAGGTCTCCAAATAACCTCCCAATATTCAAGTCAACCCGAATATCAGAAAATTGTATCTTGCATTCTTGCTGACATTTTTCTGATCGACAATAATGTGTTAAAATTTTATACTTTTTAGGTGTTATCTAGCTGTGAAATTTTATGGTATATAATAGGCATGTTTTACTTCAAAATAGGCCTAACTTTGTTCGAATTGGAGCTATATAGCTCAAACTATGAATTTCCAAATTTATTGTGAAAAATCATAATTTTTGCTGCCAAATAGCTCAAGAATGAACTTTGATTAATTTTCTGTACTAATGTAGACCTGATGTGCCTTTGAAACTTTTTTGTTTCCCCAATACTTACGTCTATTATATCTAGTAAAAATTTGGCAAATTTTACAGCTCATTTGGTTTGGTAATTGTAGGCTTTTTTAGGGTATGTTCATGGTTGCTGAGATGCTGTTGTAGGAATTGATATGATTAATAATCAGGCTCTCTTTATGTGCATGGTATAATTGTTTTAAAGAGGACAATGATAGGTGTGCTGTGTTAAGGTTCGGCAAGTTCTTCAGAGGCTGAAAAGGTATTTAGCTCTTTCTTCACTTCAAATCTTTGCCAGATGAACTGTGAAAGTGGGTGTATGTTTGCTTTATTCTGATTCATGTTGGTTACCTGTAATTGTTTAGCTTGCATGATGAATATCTAGTCATTTGGCCATGGCCCATGGGCTTGATAATGTTGGTTAATGTTGATTTACCTAGTAACTGAAACCTCTGGTTGATTGTAGGTTCTGGAAGTTGTTGATGAGATTCTAGTATTCACAAGTATTCTCTTTTTCTTCAGCATTTCTGTTTCATCATTGATTTTATTTTTTGAATAATTTGTTGAATAATGAGATTCACTTCTCGCTCCCAAACTCCTTTTTTACAGGAAAATCTTTGGAAGGACGGGAAACTCTTTTAATACTTGTTCTATCTAGTCTCTCATGGCATTACTGTCAAGTCTAATAAGGACTCCTCAATTTAATGGTACACTCTTCAAGCCTGGTGCTCTTTGCTCACTCGTATCCTTCAAAATCATCTATTATTCAACCACTTACTGTCATATTCAGTCTGTTGAACCCTCACGTTGCTCTCCTGCCAGTGCCAAAGATGTCGTGGATTCCCTTATTTCCATCTTTACTAAACAATCATTGACACGCTACAGTCCTAGATTAAATCAGCTTGCACCTAGAATCACCACTCAAGTAGTCGAATCTGTACTGAAAGGTCTCAAGAGTTGGAAAATGGCTGTGATGTTTTTCAACTGGGCCTCAAATCAACCTGGGTATAAGCATAATTGCTACACGTACAATGCCATGGCATCTATCTTATCTGGTTCACATCAGATTTATCCTCTAAAAGTCTTGATTAAGGACATCGTGAATTCACATTGTTCATTTACCCCTGGTGCATTGGGTTTCTTGATTAGGTGTTTGGGGAGTGTTGGATTGGTCCAGGAAGCTAGTGAATTGTTTGATGAAATCAGGATGATGGGTCTTTGTCTTCACAATATTTATAGCTACAATTGTCTGCTGGAAGTTATAGCCAAGTCTGGCTCAATAGATATGATGGAAATGAGATTGAAAGAGATGAACAAGTTGGGGTGGCAATTTGATAAGCACACATTGACCCCAATCATGCAAGCATATTGCAATTATGGGAGGTTCGAAGAAGCTTTGAATGTTTATAATACAATGCATGAGAAGGGTTGGGTGGATGCACACATTTACTCTATGCTGATAGTTTCTTTTAGTAAACGGGGCAAGTTGGATAAAGCATTTGAGTTTTTGGAGAGAATGGAAAGCCTAGATATCAAATTGAATGAGAAGACGTTTTGCATTTTGATTCATGGGTTTGTGAAAGAGTCCCATGTGGATAAGGCCCTCCAATTGTTTGGTAAAATGCAGAAAGCTGGTTTCATTGCTGCTGTTTCTGTTTATGATGCTCTGATTGGAGGACTATGCAGGAATAAAGAGATTGACAAAGCTTTATGCTTGTACTCAGAAATGAAGGAACTTGGTATTCAACCTGATGTTGGAATCCTTACCAAATTGTTATCATGTTCTCCAGACAAAAGTATAATTATGAAATTACTTGAAGAAATTCCTGAGGATGTGAATAATGAAACTGTTCTTTTGTTATTTAACGCTGCTTTAAATGGTTACTCAAGTAATGGGTTGATGGATGAAGCTTATCATCTTCTTCAAACAATGATTTGCAACATGTCCAAAGTGAAGAGAATGATTTTTCCTAATTCCACTTCCTTTAGTATTGTTATTGATGGCTTGCTCAAAAAGGGTAGGTCGGACCTTGCCTTGGGCCTCTTCAATGATATGAAAAGAATTGTTTGTAAACCAAATATATTAATCTATAACAATTTGATTGATGAACTATGCAAGGTCGACAGATTGGATGAAAGTTTTAAGCTTTTGAGAGAGATGAAAGATTCAGGAGTGGAACCAACTCATTTTACCTACAATTCTATATATGGATGCATCTGTCGAAGAAAAGATGTATTGGGAGCCATCGCTATATTGAGGGAGATGCGTGCTTGCGGGCACGATCCCTGGATAAAATACACTACTCTTCTTGTGAAGGGGCTTTGTGCACACAAGAGATCACTGGAAGCATGCTACTTTCTTAGCAACATGGTTCAAGTAGGTTTCCTTCCTGATATAGTACCCTACACTGCAGCCATACAGGGTTTGTTCAGCATTCATGAAGTTGATAAAGCATTGGAGTTATTTAGGAATTGGTGTTCTCATGGCTACAGCCCTGATTTGATTGCTTTTAACATATTGATAAATGGTCTCTGCAAGCTAAACAAACTAACAGAGGTTGAAAGTTTTCTGAATGAGATTGCTAAGAGAGGTCTTTGTCCTTCTGTTGCTACCTACAACATGCTAATAGACAGTTACTGCAAAAATGGATATATTGATGAGGCTATGCTGCTTTTTTCCAGGATGTCAGGAGAAGGCAGGGAGCCCAATGTTATTACATACACAACTATAATGGATGGGTTATGTAAAGCAGGAAAGCCTAATGATGCTCTCGTGGTCTGGAATGAAATGGAAAGAAAAGGCTGTAGGCCAAATAGAATAGCTTTTATGGCACTTGTTCATGGTCTTTGCAACTGCCGTAAGCCCACTGCAGCCCTCCAATATTTTCGTGAGATGAAGCAGAAAAATTTGGTGGCTGACCAGTATATTCATATGGCATTGCTAAGTGCTTTACTGTCTGATCTAAATTTTCCTGCAGCATTTGAGATTTTGAGAGAGATAATTGGCAAAGGACTTTTCCCCCAATCACATGATGAAAGCTATTTGATTGTAAGAGACGCAGTACATAAATTATCTATGGATGAGGGAACATCCTCTGGCATTCAAGCTCTTATTGAAGAAGGAAAAATTCCAACATCTTGTCTTTCAGTTGTTGGAAATGAAGGTGTACCTTAGCTCATTGTTAAAACAAAAAGAAGTTGGTATTTTTCAGGCTCTGGCTATGAGCTCAAGGAAGTATTTGTGTATCAAGTTCTTGGATTTGGAATGGAGACTATCGTACACAACTACACATCTATGATGCTTCCTTGATGGTGTGCCCACTAACATTTAAATTCAGAGTCTGGATCTTAGTGGCTCACATGTTTCGAAATCTCAATACTGGTGGGTTGTAAGTATCTTCAATCTTGGAGGCAAGCTAATTTTCCTAGCAACACTATCGTAGGTAATCTCTATTCAAAGAAGATTGTATCTGATCTTTCCTCAGGGATATTATTACATTAAAAATAACCAAGGGAGTTCTAGTGGAGTTGTGTTTTGTGCAATTTGTCAAGATTCGAGGTCAGTTACTATCTGACAAATAATTGAATTATCAGAAAGGGCATGGAGAGATGGCACGGAGAGAAGTCAGCGAGAACTTACAACCATAGATAATTTATTTCTACGAATAATTGAATTATCAAGAATAATTGATTCTCAGATGCTTGCTTTGTCGAATTCATAATGGACTATAAATTGATGAAGTATCCAATGCATGCTTGAAACACTTGTAATCCAGGTTAAATTCAAAATAAAATAACTCTATCCCAACAGGGGGTTGTATGAGAAAGTCACTGCTTATGCATAATGAGAATTTCAGATAGCCATTTCAGTCTGGTCTCTCTGTTTCTCTCTTCTCTCCCTATCCCTCTCTCCTTCCCTTTTCTGATGGTAACCTTACATTAGGCTTGTTTTGAAAGTTTAGTGATGAATTATAATTTATTTCTACGTTGTCAGGTGGTATGCTGATAAATCACATTTCTTGCATTCATTTCATGTCATTTTAGACTTGGTTTATGCATTTGTTCATGTATTATGGTGCCTCTTTAGCCTAATTGTGTTTAAGTGTTGAGTTTCATTTCATTAAGCGCATTTTAGGCATAATTGTGACTTTTTATCCAAATTTCACCTAAGCTTGGATTTGATGTCTTGAGTAGATTTCATTAAGTGTGTACTTGCATTGGTTGTGTGTTAGTGTGTGAGGATTCCTATGAATTTCTCTACACAAGTTTTTCATCCACACATTTCACTTTACATAATTGATTTTAATATTTCTACCCAAGTTGAATTAATTTGTCACACACTAAGGTACATATTTCCTTCATTTTCTTGGATTTTAGGTCACAGTACGAAGGAAGAATGAAGTGTGTGCAAACAAGTATCAATTGGTCTCAATGGGAAGCTAGAGGACGCCATTTTAGAGATGTCAAAAGGGTACAAAATATCCCTGAGGCATGATACACTTATCAAAGAGGAAGAGTGGAAGATTGGAAGCTTGTAGAGAATTCTAGAATGTGATGCAACTTGACCTACTTGGTAGTCTTCTAGAAGAGCTACTTGATCATCCACTTGCACATAGATTGTATCCCCTTTCCCTCCAAAAAGTAACTACCTTTCTCACCAATTGCTTGAAGTTTCAGCCACTTGGATATTTTCACTCTAGACTCACGTCTTTTACTCATTCATTCGCAACTCTTCTCTAACTCTCTCGCATCTCAACCAAATCACATAATCTTTACATCATTCTTCTTCTCTCAACATTTTCGTCCAATCCCTTTCATCTTCTCTTGGATCTGTGGCTTGGATTGACATTGGAATGGCTCTTGAGTTCATGACCTTGGAGGAGGACTTGAAGGGTTTGAAGACGGAGATTGAAGGCTAGATCATCTTAGTTCCAAGGAGCAATGGAGGAGACTTGAGTTCAAGGATCTATATTGGACTAGGACTTTCTAATCTCTCTCTTCTTTCAATCTCTCTGTATTGATTCAATGGTTGAGTTGATATGTTAGATTGAATTCTGCCTAGTGAAAAATATTGTATTAGAAGGTTGGATTGTAGGATTGAGATTTGTTTTTTGATTTTCATTTATGGGTTTTGGCCTTGAAGGCTTGAATGGAATAAAATTGGTGTTTGATTCATCTTACTTTCTTTGTCTTGACCGAATTGTGTTTGTGCTTGGCATTGAGATAAGCTTATCTTCAGTTGAACTAGGTTTGGTAGAAGATAACATACTACACACCTAAACCCAAAGACAACCTCAATTCACTCATTGGTTTCATGTTCAAAACAGCAAGTGCTAAATTAGTTATCAAGATGGTCTCGTGGCTAGGTTGGTTACTTGTGATTCCCTAATTGTTTTCTAATGAAAACCCAAACTAATGAGCATTGGATTGTCTTGTCATCAATCAAAGAACAATGATTGCCTATGCCATTGTCTCTTAGGAACCTATCTCTCATTTGATTACACTCATTTCAATTACTACTTGTTTCTTACTTGTTTTGGTAGATAGTTGCCTTTGCCTATTACTCTTCTAGACTAGCTCCTAAGGAAAGATCTAGTTGTGCTCTATACTCGTTAGGGAAGATCTAGTTTTAATTCGGTGCATAAGCGACTATTGCAATCAACATGACAGCTTGGGATTTAGACTGTTTGGTATTTTTTTTTAAACGAAAGCTAGATTTGTCCTACCGTGTATAGGTTGTTTAAGCTTTCTAGGTTATAGATTTTGGGTGGCTGAAAGGGCTATCATTCTACAGCAGTGTGCTGTTATTTTATAGGATTGTGTTTTTTTGCTATAGTGGATATGGATTGCAAAAGATAACAACAACTAGCCTTATTCCACTATATAGGATTAGGTGCATGGATTGCACGATGCCATTATATTCTATTAACAACCAAATTTTTGGATTGCAAGAGATGTTTGAGAAATATCTTGTGTCTCATCTTGGGGAAAGATTCCCCCCACTATTATGGCCTCCTTGGGTTTGTAGATATTTGAATTATTCAAATTAAAAGTCTGTAGCTCAAGATATGAGCTCTCAAGGTTCAAGAATTTTGACAGCATCAACAATGCCATTGCGACACATGATGTTTGTCTCAGTGTAATCCACCATAACGGATGTGCCACACGTTGGAGGGGGACAATCCTTCTCTTTCCCACCATGTTTTGTTGTTTTACTTCGTTGATTAGGCTCAACCCCAAGCTTTGAGTCCATACATTATGAATCCACTTGTTGATTATATTCTCTCAAGTTTTGTTGTGAAAATTTTTATGTCAAACCGAAGTCTTATCCCCTTTCTCTTTAATCATGCTGAGTTAAATCCTTCATCTGTCTTCCTTAACTTAGCCTTGTTTTATAGTAAGGGTGCGATGATATGATAACTTTCTGATTTAATTTTTATATGAAAAAATTAAAAATATTTCAAAATATAGATAAAAGTGCATATTTAATCCTTCAACTTTACACAAAGTTTTATTTATTTCTTTAATCTTATAAAGTGTCTTCTTAATCCTCTAATTTTAATGACATTAATTTCATCAACAAAAAAAAGCCTAACGTTGAACTTTTAAATCTTGACATATTTAGTTTATTTTTTTAAAAATGATACTGATTGGCATACCAAAAAAAAATCATTTGAAATTAATAGTATTATGGTTAAATGATTAAAAAAATACTTTATAAAATTAAAGAATCTATCTAGGGCTAATATAAAATTTGGATCTTGAACTATAAGTCCAGGGGCTTTGAATCTTAAAATTTTATTTAATACATTGTGAACCATAAACAATTAAAGTTGGTGCAATTTTGCCCTTACTATTAAATTTAAGCAACATCTGTTATTTTCTTAAAAATTGGGCATAATATGAGATTTTTGCCAAATTTTGCTCTCCCTCTCTCTTCTCTTCTCCTTTGAGAAAAATTACACATTAGGCCTCATTTTTTAAAAAATAACATATGTTTACTTTAATTTAATGCTAGGGGAAAAATTGCCACCAATTTTAATTATTTAGGTTCATGATGTAGCAATATTTTAAAAACTAGATTGGACTATGAATAAGAAAAATTAACAAGTCAGAGTTTTTGTGGTTAATTGGTTAAACTAGTGATCGAATAGGTAACATAATAATTAAATAAAAAAATATTTTCATGGATATATATAAATAAAATGTTAAAAAATATTGACAATATCATTTTTAATTCAGAGTTGTTTAGTGATAACATATTAAACTTAATGAAAGGTGGTTTGGTCTCCATAAGAGGAGGGTTTCTTTCTAACCTTGGGGCGTCTTCCTCTCATGCTTTTCCTCATCTCTTGCTATCTAGTTTTTTCTTGTGGTGCTTTTGCTTTTGTTTCATTCCTTGTGGTCTAAACATCTCCTCATGTCTTCTTCTAAGGATCCTCACTTCCTGGATATTGATTAGTGTTCTTCTCATTATCTATTTGCTAAGGTTTATGATTAGAGAAGATTTCATGCTTCCAAGATTCTCGCTTACATCTCACGTTTTTGGAAATTAGGGGAGATTTCAAGTAATCCAATCATATAAGAATCACTTGCTCTTTTTCAACAGCACATATGATTTACACTTCATGTCCAATGGAGGTCCTAGGGTGTTCATTGGTTGTTTGATTATTCTACAACAATGGCAACCTTTTCCACGTCCTTAGGAGGTTTCCTTCTCATAAGTTCCTCTTTGGATTCACTTATATGGTCTGCTTATACAAGTTTACACTCAAGCTTTTGCAACATTGATTGGTAGCTTGATGGGTACTTTTCTATCTTTTGATGAATCTAGTCTCAAAAACTCATTTGGAATGAGATTTTGTGTCCTTGTGGACTTTCTCAGGTCCTTAAATTATAAGGTGTTCTTTCTTTTGTTGATGGTTATGATTTTGACTTAAACATCTGTTGTGAAAGGATTACTAGAATTTGTTTCAATAGTCATTAGGTTGGATGTAACACCCCTAGCAAAATATAATAGATAACTTGCAAAAATTTTGAAATAAATCACTCAACCATGATCCTACCCCAAAGAGCTTGTAATATCCCAAATTTTTAATCTGAATTTATAAACTAATTAGGGATAAATTAATAAATTTGAACATTAAGCAAGTTAACTATGTTTTCGGATTACTAGTAGACATATCAGTTAACTTGGACATCTTTGTGATAGGCTAGGATGGTTATTAGGCCAACCAAGCTCAAGTAGAAAGCCCAAAATTTTGAGCCTTGTTTTTGTCTCATTTGCCATGGTGAAAGCTCTATGCGCTGCAGTAAACGAACAAAAAATTAAAAGGATGGACGTGAGCTTAGGCAAAAAATAGAAAGGAAGAAGAGAGGAAACATGAGAATGATAGAGATGAGCTTTTGCTTTGCTAAGGCATCAAGATTTGGATGCTTGGAGCTAGTTTGGACCTCCAGTTGTTTGAGGAAGCTTTATATCTTTCTTCCCCTCCCATTCTATGCAATTTCACTTGGTTTTTATATAGGGGGAAGTGATTCCTATGTTGAGGAAGGGGGGTTCAAACCCAATGGCTTAAATGGAATCATGGGGAGTTTGATTTAAGTTTCATACTTAAGTTTAGTGATTTCATAGATTGTTGTAGTTGGTCTCTAGGGTTTGGACAAACCGTAACCCTTAGTTAGAAGATTTTGAGTATTATGGACCCTTAATTGATGTTTGTTAGCTTAATGAAAGTTAGATGGAGCTATGGAAGGTTGTTAGATTTTTATTTAGATCAAATATGGGAGTTGGGAACTTGGGTCATTTAATTAGAGCTAAAAGCATCTAGGTTTGGAAATTCAGTAATTAGTGTTCCAATATGTAGATTATCATTGCTCAAAATCTCTTTTAGCAAAAGCAACCTAGAGGAGCTTTGAATTCGATGGGTAACCCTTTTTTGTAATAAAAGGGTCAAGGTAATTAGATAATCCAGCTTGTTTACTTGTTTGCTTGTATGGTATATGAGTGTTTGTGAAAAATGAATTGTTATTTGATTTGCAAAAATAACACGTGTGTGTTTGTTTGTAAATTATATGTTTGTTTTAGAAGTTGTGTGAAGTGGGGTTGAATTTGAATAAAATTGAATATTTGTTTGTAAAACAGATTTTAAGGAAATCAATAATTATTGATCATAAATATGCTATGATAGTTAAATGCATGGTAGAAATGAATATGTGATGCATTAATGTGATTGAGCATTGTAACATCCTAAATTTTCAAATTAGGAATTACTAGTGTTTCTAAGAGTAATCTGGTTAATTTAGATAAATTATTAATTAATGATGTTTATGGGAGACTAATATAGTTTTTGGATCCTTGGATAGCCTTAGAGGAAGGCTAAGTCAAAGTTCAAGCGGGCCATGGCACGGAGGAAGGCTTAAATTGATAAGGGGTTCTCTATATCATGCACTGCAGCAGATGTGTCAATGCATTGTGGCGCACGTGCAAAAATCAACATTTATCAATTCACAAAAACAGACTGGAACCAGAGGGAAGAAAGAAGGAAGAATGAGAGAGTGATGGAGAGAGCTTGTGTCCTACTAGGGCACGATCCTTAGACCATTTTATATGCATTTGGAGCTTGAATCATTATTGGGTAAGTTTCACATTCCCTCTCTTCCCTCTTTTATATGAAAATTCTAACTTTTTAAGCAATGGGGGCTTTGATCTCAGTTTTTTTAGGCTTAGACCAAACCCATTGGCTTATTGAAGGTCTTTGGGAGTTAAATCAAGCCTTTAACCCTAGGTTTGAGTTCTATGTTGATTTGAAATTTTTGATTGAGGGTTTAAAAGAACCCTAGGCATGATCTGAAGGTTTTGAGACAATGTGGGAAATTGGATGATGAATTTATTATGTTGGGATGTTTAATATGATGGTTAGAGTGTTTTGAAATGGTTGATGTTGTTAGATAAGGAATTTGAGTGTTGTGGGTACTTAGAACATAGTGAATTCAAGGTTTATCTAAAGTGATAATTGACAATTGTTACTTGATTGTGTAGATTGAGTGTTGCTTGAGCTTTATCATGCATATATAACGTGTAGAGCTAATATTGAGCCATAGTAACCCTTTTATGTAACAAAGAGTTAAGATAACGGAATAATTTACACTATTTAATTATATTGTTTAATTATTTGTG